ATAAAGGCTTCTGTCTGCTCCTCTTATCAAACTTTTTAGTAGCAACCAGAACTGAAGGGCTGAAATGCTTAGATCAGGAACTCTGCCAGCTCTGGCGCTGGCATGAATTGATCTCTGCTGCTTGGGGTTGTAGTATTTTGAAAACATCATTATGGAACACTGCCCAGGTTTAGAACAGTTCCTGAGACCAGAAAGTAAAGTCTTCTGGGTCACCAATGAAAGTGGACTCAGGGTAGGGATTATTATGCACCTTTTTTTTTGTGTGTGTGAAAATACTGTAAAGAGGGGTTACAATTACATGGGCAAGATAAGGAGTACATTTCTTATCAAGCATTGTAGCCTCCTCCTTTGTTTCCCCTTCCCATCCCTTCCCATACCTCCCCCTCTCCCACACCCTATCCTCCCCCACCTTTTTACTCTTGCTGAAAGTAAGCATTCTGGCTGGGTAAGCAACCCTTTGGATAAAATGCTTTGACAGTTTCTGAGAGTCAGAGCTTGACTCTTGTTTTAGAGGGAGTTGGCTTATTGGTTTCATCTGTGGGAAAGTGGGAAAAACCAGGAACTGTTGGTTAAAATCTGGCAGTGACCTCATCTGACCAGGAAGTCCCTATTTCAGAGCTTGGGTAATAAAAAATTCCTGACAAAGCAAAATAGATTCAGAAATTCTTTAAGGCTTTGAATGCATGCCTGTCCTGAGGACTAGTGCTCTGGTCCTGGGATCTGACTGGGGCTTGTTACTGTTATTCTGAATATGAATGGCTGATAGAGGATGAGTTCATGAAGGAATCTATGCAATATTGGGAGAAAACACATGATAACGAGGAGCCTCAGAGAACTCTGCCCCTAACCTGGCTTTGCTCCTTGTGACATGCTCTTAGATTTTATTATTTTTAGTTTTCCCTCTTTGGTAAAATAGGACTAATACAATAGGGCCTGTCTTACAGCTAGCAAGATCAATAGAAAGCCCACGGATTGAGAGAAGAATGTCACTATCCATACAACAGACAAGGGTCTCATATCTAAAATATACCTGGAACTCAAAAAATTAAATCCCCCAACAACAAATCTTCAAAGAAACAACTGCCCAATAAACAAGTGAGCTAAAGACTTTTAAAGAGAAACTTCTCTGAAGAGGAAAGAAGGATAGCCAATAGACACATAAAGAAATGCTCAACCTCCCTAGCCATAAAAGAAATGCAAATCAAAACAACATTGAGATACCACCTCACCCCAGTTAGAATGGCTATAATCAAGAACTCTAATAACAACAGATGCTAGAGGGGATGTGGACAGAAGGGAACCTTACTGCATTGTTGGTGGGAGTGTAAACTTGTTCAACCACTTTGGAAAGTAGTATGGAGGCTCCTCAAAAGACTCCACATAGAGCTCCCCTATGACCCAGCAATACTACTTTTGGGCATTTACCCAAATGTTTACAAACAAGACCACACTAAAGCTACCAGCCACGACTACGTTTATCGCAGCATTATTTACTATAGCTAAGATATGGAACCAACCCAAATGCCCCTCAGTAGATGAATGGATCAAGAAAATGTGGTATATATACACACAATGGAATTCTATGCCTCCATCAGAAAGAATGACATTGCCCATTTGTTAGGAAATGGAAAGGCTTGGAAAAAACTATATTAAGCGAAGTAAGCCAGGCCCAAAGAAACATAGGTCCCATGGTTTCCCTTATTTGCAATATCTAGTGTATGTCTGAGTCAAGCAGAAAAGGTCAGATAAGGTGATGTTAGGGAAATGAACCCTAAGATACGTATTCAAATGTTTTTTTTTCTTTCATGCGATTGTTTCTAACACATAAGATTATTTCTTTGTTGCTTTGTATATCCCTCCCCCGCAGTATAACCCCTGCTTTCACTGTATTTGATGTTGGTATAATTTGTGGAGGGGAAAGGGAAAAACAAATCGTTTAACTAGGGATACGTGGACACATTGCAACAATGAGATGTACAAGTTGTTATGTCGAAAACGAACTTTACAACTTTGGTGTGGGGGAGGGGGCGTGGAGGATTGGGTGGGGGATGGGGAGAAGGATGGGAAGGGATGGGAAGGGGAAACAAGGAGGCTACAATGCTTGATAAGAAATGTACTCATTATCTTGCCCATGTAATTGTAACCCCTGTGTACAGTATTTTCACAATAAAAAAAAAAATAGGGCCTGTCTTACAGAGTGGTAGAATTATCAAGTAAAGGCCTTTGAAACACTTAGCATATACCTGTGATATGTAAAATGTTCAGACACACTTATCACAAAGGCAAATACTGAGTTGCTTATTAAATTTGGAGGCTGGAGGAAGCATGGATACCATTGAGAATTGAGAACTTGGGTGCTTCATTCAGCAGTACTTTGCTGTAACCAGCAGGGGGCGTCATTGGCTGCATCTTGATACACTGGCTTCCATCTTGTCTAGTTCCCTCCTGTGGTCCTTGTTATGTTGTACCCCTTCCAAGAAATAGATTTCTATTACTAACTGTTCCCAGTTGGATGACCCAGTAAGCTTATCTGCAGATCATTCAAATGTCAGAGACCATCCTAGCATTTCTAGCATGCAATAGACACTTGCTTTCAAGTCAAGCGTTAATAGTTCCTTGCTGCTAATAATGCTGGGTCATCATGGAGCCAGCATGGTGTGTACTGAAGCTTGGAGCTGTTGAGACTGAATTTCAGCAGGATACTTAGCTGGCATTTCTTAATTATTGTGTTGTGCTGGAGTAGTGGGTCTAAACTAAGAGGATAGTTCCAAAACAAAATTAGATTTGTTTTGTATGTATAAGCCTGAAGGCCCAATGTTGAATTCAAAATATAAGAGGCTGTGCCCAGGGAATATCTGGAAACAATCAAGTTAAAGTGGTCATAGTAGCAAAGCCAAAAATTTTACAAGTAGCTGCATTCCCTAAGAGAAGGCTGAGATTTCAGTCAGCAGTTATCTCCGTGGCCTAGGCTAGGGACATGGGCTGGGCATTAATCTCATTATTGATGGTTCTTCAGAGGTACATGAAGGGTAAAATGGAAAAGCCACACTGGAGAGATGACAGTGAGTGCATAAAATGGCATATTTTTGGACAAATATTTTCGTTAAAGTGCATATTTAAATGTATTGAAATGAGGGAATGCTACTGTTGGTTTGAAAACTATAATACTGATTAGTTTTCAACTGTAATAATACTTAGTTGACACAAAATATGCAACCTGCTGCCATTTCCATAATGTACCACAAGGTGGCAACCACATCAGCTGACTTAGTAAGGAAAAGTGATGAACTCAAGTTTTTTGGTAAAAATCTTGCTAAATTATCCTTATTTTTTTCCTGATCTTTTGTTTGTTTTTTTTTTCTCTCCAAGAAATGGAAAGAAAACCATTTTTCTACATGTTGATATAAAGCCACTTCTATCATCTAACCTGAAAATAATTTTATTTTCTATTTTTATAGTATTTATTTATTTTTGGCCAGTTGTAAAGTTTGAACTCAGGGCCTGAGTGCTGTCCCTGAGCCTTTTTATGTTCAAGAATAGCACTTTACCACTTGAGCCACAGCGCCACTTCTGGTTTTTGAGTCCTTAATTGGAGATGAGTCTTATGGGACTTTTCTGCCCGGGCTGGCTTCGAACCATGATCCTCAGATCTCAGCCTCCTGTGTAGCTTAAGATTACAGGTGTGAGCCACCAGCGCCTGGCTTAATAATTTCATTTAGATACCAATTCTTATCGCTGGAATTAGAAAGCTTATTTAGTAGAAATATAATTCAAGTAAGACTAGACCTGAACTTTCTTAGTGAAAAAACAAAAACAAAAAAGTACTTCTCCCTACTCCCCCCCACCCCCCCCCCCCCAAAAAAAAAGCAGCTCAGGTCATGTTCCTTTATTAAAGTTTCTAGCCATGTCTTTAACTTGTCACTATTTAAATATTTTCTCTGTGGGGTGTCAGCCCAGTCACTAGTTACTTGGTTTTTAATTGTAACACTTGAGTTAATATTTGTCCTTGTAATTGTTCTTATTTGTGTTCCTTAGTCATCAAGTCAGATTAACTCTTAGAGAGTAGAGCCACATTTCCCCATCTTATCTGATGACCAGAACTTTCAGATGTTTTAACTTTAATTTGAACTATAAATTAAAACTCCCTTTGAATTATTTTTATTACTATATAATGACTTCATTGTATGTAAGGTGTCATTTATGCATACTTTCATGTATAAAGTGAATTTTAAAAAATGTGTGAATAATAGTATTATTTCAGGAACTGGAAGCTGACTTTACACATCTACATTACCCTCCAGTTCCAGAGGAAGGAAGGTCCCATGTCATCATGTCTTTATCAAATGGCCCCATGAGACATCATTACAAATGGCTATAAGTAAAATTTTATTTCCCAGAAGATTGCTGAACACCCTCTATTCTGCAGTCCATTTGATGGAAATAAAATTGGTCAGAAGAATTTTCTACTCACTTGCCTACCTTTAGGTTCTGTTTCCTAACCTAAAAGTACTTTTCTGTGCTTATTTTTAATTCAGTTAAAAATCAATTGGTAGAAGCCAAAAAGGTAACCTATATTGTGCTTATTTTTAAAACAGGAATCCTTAAATGGTTATTGATTTTTTTTTAAGGGCCTTTGAATGTTTGTTTATTTTTTTTTAATTTTCAGATTTTTGAAACTGGTTCTGGGGACTGGGAAGGTGGCTTAGTGGTAGAGCATTTGCCTTGCATGCATGAGGCCCTGGGTTCGATTCCTCAGCACCACATAAGCAAAAAAGAAAAAAAAAGCCGGAAGTGGCACTGTGGCTCAAGTGGTAGAGCGCTAGCCTTGAGCTGAAGAGCTGAGGGACAGCACCCAGAGTTTAGGCCCCATGACCTGACCCCCCCCCCCCCAAAAAAAAATGGTTCTGGAGAAGAGTGAATATGAATAAATGAATTTGCCTAAAATAATTACTTGTTTCTGATGAAAATAACCTGGTATGTTCTCTTTTTTTCTCCCTTAGATTGGAATAATTGGTGGAACAGGCCTGGATGACCCAGAAATTTTAGAAGGAAGAACTGAGAAATATGTGGATACTCCATTTGGCAAGGTTAATATCCAGTTGAGGGAGGCTTGTTAGCTTTTCTCTTTCTCCTTACAGCCTTAACTTTAAGTTAGGAGAAGCAATTGCTGTAGTGTTAGCAGCCCAGGGCTCTCTGATCCAGGCATAGAAGCTGCAGCCCTGCCATTAGTTCCATCATCTGAGAAAGAGCTGTACTTCCCAGCTCTTGGATTGCAGTTCTTAGACTGCACTGTTTTGATAACATGGCTAGTGAATGTGTAATAGTACCTTCTCATTTTCAGTGTATATTGTTAGAAGCCAGACACTCATTTCAGACATAGCAACTGTACTCTTTAAATGTATATTCAAATCAGCTTCTGCTTCTAATTTGGAGGTTGATTAGGGGGCAGACTGATGACTAATAGAATGAGTATCATTTTTCTGTGCTCTGGCTCTGAGGAGGAGAATCTTAGGGATCCAGAGCACAGCCAGTGTTAGTAGAATTGGAAATGAGACTCCTCTTTTCTTTGGACAGGCTGCTTATTCTGGTATTAACAGCCTAAGCCAAGAGGAGAGTGTCTGCCTACCTCTAATTCCATACTTCTAAACCTTATCATTCCTCTTGTTCTCCTAGGAAGGTCTCTACATTTGGCCATCCAACCAAACTGACGAAGTTCTTTGGTTGCCCTTTTGTCTTCCAAGACCAGTTTTTATCTCAGCCACTTCTTAGCCTTAGTTCTCTGGACCTTCCCCTGTGTATTTCAAGTCATCCCTTGGCTTGAGAACTGTCTCCCAAGCAGATAGTTCCAGTTCTGAATTCTTCACAGTGCAGCATTAGCATCCTAACCTGTCAGCCTTTCATTGTCACATCTGTTCCTGAGCCTGCCAAATACTCTTGACACAACTGAATTTGATTGCTTACTATCACAGTCCCCTGGCAGTGCTTGTTACAAATAGACCCTAGTAGATAGGATTTGCACAGGCTCTGAGACAATCTTCAGAGCTTGGTAAGTTTCTGCCAGTAGAAAACTTAGTAAATTTTGATGGTTGTGTTGATCAATAAAGTCTGGACTGTAAGCTGTATTACCTAACTCCAAGTTTTATGAGCCTGTTGTGGTTTAACAAGTCAAGTGACAATTTGTTGTTGTTGTTTTATTGTTTTTGCATGTGGTTTAAAATCATTGACTTGTAACAATTTTTTATTGCATGCAGCCATCTGATGCCTTGATTTTGGGGAAGATAAAAAATGTTGATTGTGTCCTTCTTGCAAGGTAAAGTATTTTAAGCTTTTTGGATGTCACTACTAACAGAAACTGAATTTTAACAAACACTAAAATGAATAATGATGGAGTGAGGGTTTTTTTTTGTGCAGTCTTAGGGCTTGAACTCAGGGCCTGGGTGGTGTCCCTGAGCGTCTTCCTTGCTCAAAGCTAGTACTCTACCACTTGAGCCACAGTGCCACTTGTGGGTTTTTCTGAGTAGTTTATTGGAGATGAAAGTCTCACAGACTTTTCCTGCCAGGGCTGGCTTCAAACTACAATCCTCCTAAGTAGCTAGAATTATAGGCATGAGTCACCAGTGCTCAGATGAGGTATGAATTCTTGTGCAGTACTACAATCAGCACATTTCAGTCACTTTTATTTTAGGAGCAGTTGTGTTTACTTGGTAAGCCAGTGACCTCATGACTAGCCCTTTCGCATTGGAAGAGTAAACCAGCTAATAAAACTGAAGCTCTGGTTCAATTTTAGCTACAAGAAGAAATTATTCCCTTTGTTCATTTTTTTTCTTCTAATTATCAAGATAAAAACAATGCTTCATCTGGGCTCTGATGCTCACGCCTGTAATCCTAGCTACTCAGGAGGCTGAGATCTGAGGATCATAGTTCAAAGCCAGACTGGGCAAAAAAATCCTGAGACTCTTATCTCCCATTAACCACCAGAAAACCAGAAGTGACACTGTGGCTCAAAGTTGTAGAGCTTTAACTAGCCTTAAGCAAAAGAGCTCAGGGACAGCATCCAGGCCCTAGGTTCAAGCCCCATAACTGACAAAATAATAATAAAATAAACAGTACAATAATTTATTCATAACCTTATGTGGCTGTAGTTGTGAGGAAAAGCATAGGGTCCCTGAACTGGGTTATTTGTAATGTTTATCCCCTAGAAAAGGGTAGTATTGTCCCCTATTACAGAGGAAGCAACCTCATTTCCATCAACTAGTTAGAAATTAGATTACATATATTAGTTTTCCATTCCTGTGTTACAAATTAGTAGCTTACCAGAGCATATGTTTTCTTATAGGTCAGTGTCTGGCACAGCTTCATTGGGTCATCTGTTTGGGTCTTACAAGGTCAGGTCACTTATGGAGTTCAAGGACTTTGTTCTAACAGAATCTAGTTCATCACACTTGTAGGAGGGGAATTGAGAGGCAGCCCCTATTTCCTGTCATGTGGCCTCTCTCCGGCAGTTGGTGAAACAGCAGCTTGTCAAAGTGAAGCCTCATCCAGAAAGGAATAGAGGGATTCATCTGGAAACTGGGGTTTATTTTATTTTACTTCATTTTTGTCCAGTCCTGGGACTTGAATTCAAGGCCTTAGCCCTGTCCCTGAGCTTTTTTTTGCTCAAGGTTAGTGCTCTACCACTTGAGTCACAGCTCCACTTCTGGCTTTTTGGTGGTTAATTATAGATAAGAGTCTCACAGACTTTCTTTCCAGCTGCTTTCAAACCTTAATCCTCAGATCTCAGCCTCTTGAGTACCTAGGATTACAGGCATGAGCAACCAGCAACTGGCTTTGTGTTTCTGTTTTTATTACTTCATGGCCATCTCTCCTTTTCTGTGTAATGACCCTATGATACCTGATGTCTCACTCTGTGGTGTTCATGCCCATCAAGATACACACACACACACAGACACACACACACACACGAGTGTGATTCCTTGGTGAGTTATTGCATGCGTCTGGAAAATAAATTCATAGAATATAAAATACTTATAGACTAATTATTGCCTGACATCTGTTCCTTCTTCCTATTACAATAAAAGTGTTTTAGTGGAAAAAATCTGAAGAACATTGTAGTAGGTTACTCTTGTAATTAAAACAGCCTGATCACTTGTGTACCATTTCACTCTCCCTCAGACATGGAAGGCAGCACACCATCATGCCTTCAAAAGTCAACTACCAGGCAAACATCTGGGCTTTGAAGGAAGAAGGTTGTACTCATATCATAGTGACCACAGCTTGCGGCTCTCTGAGAGAGGAGATTCAGCCTGGTGATATCGTCGTTATTGATCAGTTCATCGACAGGTGAGCAAACACCTAAAATGTGTTAGGTTGTGATAGCTGGTCATTTCAAGCTCAGAAGAAAGATGTATGAGAACCACAGAAAAGGGCAGTGCAGGATGCAGACTCATTCTCAGCTTTTTATTATACAACTTTCTAGTTTTTAATGTCTTTTACATAGTAATTTTATAGATTGATGGGTACAGTTTGATACTTTGATATATGTGTGCATTGCACAATGATTATTAATGATTGATAAGCTAAAGAAATTATCTCACTTGGCTGGGAAGGTGGCTCAGTGGTAGAGCGCTTGCCTTACATGCCTGAGGCCCTGGGTTCGATTCCTCAGCACCACATAAGCAAAAAGAAAAAAGCCAGAAGTGGCGCTGTGGCTCAAGTGGTAGAGCGCTAGCCTTGAGCTGAAGAGCTGAGGAACAGGGCCCAGAGTTCAGGCCCCATGACTGGACCAAAAAAATAAAATAAAATAAAAAAGAAATTATCTCACTTAAGCAATTTTTGAGATTTACATTCTGAGCAGTTTTGAAATGCATTCTAAATCACCATTAGCTAATCATAGTATTGTACAATAAATCTCAGAAACATTCCTCCTATGCAACTGTAATATGATGTCATTTGTCCAACATCTCTAACTTCCAGTAAATAACCATTTCACTCCCTACTTCTATGAGCCTGACTTTAATTTCCACATAGAAGTGCAGCCTTTGTATCTGCCTTGATTCACATAGTTTTTATCACAAATGATAGTTGTCTTTTTTATGGTTGAATAGTATTCCAATGTTCATCCATTCCTGATGAATACCTACACTGATTACACGTTCTGCTGTGGACATCTCTTCCACACATTGATGTCATTTCCCTTGGGATATGCTTAGAGGTTGCACTGCTCCCTACCCTTTACTCCAATGATGTATGACTTTGCGTACCCACCAGCAATGTGCAGATTTTCCCATTTCTACATATCCTCACTTATCTTTTGCCTTTTTGGTAGTAGCCATTCTAGCAGGTATAAAGATGGTAGCTTATTTTAATTTTAATTTGCATTTGCCCAGTGATTAGTGATATTAAGCATTTTTTATGTATCTCTTGGCCAGTTTTATGCTGGGGTGTGTGTGTGTGCGTGTGCGTGCCCACGTTCCCGTACCCCACATGCACATGTGCCCATACATATGTGCTTTCATATGTGTGTGCATGTTTGTGTCCCGGTCCTAGTGCTTGAACTAGGGGACTAGGTGCTGTCTTTGAGCTTTGGCTAGCATTCTACCACTTGAGCCACAACACAATTTCTGGCTTTTTGGTAGTTAATTGTATCCAAGAGTCTTTTGGCCTTTCTTGCCGAGGCTGACTTTGAACTGCAATCCCCAGATCCCAGCCTCCTGTGTGTGAAGTTAGGATTGCAGGCATGGGTTCATGGTAACTGGCTTTTATGCTATCTTTTGAGGAATATTTCTTCATTGCCTTTGCCTCTTTTTTTAATGCTGGTCCTAGGGCTTGAACTCAGAGCCTGGGTGCTGTCCCAAAGCTTTTGCTCAAGGCTAGCAGTCTGCCATTTGAGCCACAGTGCTACTTTCTGAAGAACCAGAAGATAAAAATCACAGACTTTCCTGCCTAGTCTGCCTTCAAACCGCAATCCTCAGATTTCAGCCTCCTGAGTAGTTAGGATTACAGGCATGAGCCACTAGTGTAATACTCCTTTGCCACTTTTTTTTTTTTTTTTTGTCGGTCATGGGGCTTGAACTCTGGGCCTGGGCACTGTCTCTCAGGTCTTCAGCTCAAAGCTAGCACTCTACCACTTGAGCCACAGCACTACCAGTTTTCTGGTGGTTTGTTGGAGTTAAGAGACTCACGGACTTTTCCTGCCCGGCTGGCTTTGAACTGTGATCCTCAGATCTCAGCCTCCTGACTAGCTAGAATTACAGGTGTGAGCCTTTGCCACTTTTTTAATCTGGCTATTTTCTTTCTATTTAGTTGAGTTATGTATATGCTTTTAATATTATCCAAATACACAGTTTGCTTATGCTTTTACCTATGCTTTGTCCCTTTATAATGTAAGACTTTTTTAACATGTGTAACTTTTTTTAAAGCATAAATTAGTATTTCCTTAATTGTTAGGTATCTGGGCTTTCCTTTTTTCCCTTTTGTGTCACAAACCTTTTTTGTATTTCACATAGTTGATTTTGGTTTTTCAAAAAGGGGCACAAAGATAGACTACTTTTTACTATATACTTGTACTTAAAAAACCTTCTAGTCTAAAGATTTTTTTTCCCCTTTTTTCCTCTTTTCTCCCCTCATTCTGAGTTCTATTGACTGCATAATTAAACATCCAGTGCCTTCCTGTCCCTTATGTTTTCTGTGAACTAAAATCTAGCTCTGCTCAAAACCAGGTATAAACCTTCCTCCTGCCTTGTATCAGGCACATGGTATCAATTCTTTTTTCACAGTATTAAGATCATTGTTGTTATTTAATTGTTGTTGTTGTTTAATTGTTGTTGTTATTTAATTGTTATTTAATTGTTTTATCTACTTCTTATCTTTTGGACTCAGTTACTGAAGACTTACTTAAGAACTTTGGGAAAAGTCTTACTGTCTTGCTTTTTCATATTTTTAGTGTTTTTGTGTTGCAATTTGTTCATCTTTTGGGATGGATATCTCTTATGCTTTTAAGTGAGGATCTACTTAGTAAGCAGCCTTCTTTTAAGAGTTTAATCTACTATACAACTCAGTAAGGAGAAAACAATCCACATTAACAAGCACACACACACACACACACCCCCAAAAAAAAAAAAGATGTATAAAAATAGGATTTTTTAAATAATAGAAGATGGCAAAAGGGAAGAATATGAAATAAAGATATGAAGAAAAATAGTGGGGGAAAGTACAATAAAGCAAATGTGAATTGTTTTTTAAGTCAAAAAAGTCTACCACATTGAAGAGATGGAGACGCTTCTTTCCCAGGCTCAGTCATGGGTGGGACAAAGTGATGTTTCTTCTCAGATCCCGTCAGACAAGTCAAACCAGATGGGGCCTTTAGAAGTTGAGCCCGTCCTTCCCTGTCTTGCCTGCCAGGCCTTGCCTGCCTCCCTTCCAGCCACTATGAGCTCAGCATGATTGTTGCAGTGCTATATTTATATCAGTGAAGGAAATCTCACTTGGTTGAGTGATATAACTCAGGCATTTATCACTATGCCCATGGGTGTGCCCAAGCAGTGACTGTATATCCTCTAGATGTCTCCCAGTTTCTATTTGTGAAAAGGGCAACCAAAATGTGTGAAGAGGGCAACAAAAGCAGGCTGTGTTGGGCAGTTGAGCCATGGACAATGGGTGATCTTATTAGTCCTGCCCAGGCCAGCCTCTGTCTTAATCTGTGCCTTTAGTCTGTATCTCTGTACCCTCATTGATGCCAAAAATTGGTGTGTTTTGTCTCTCAACCATATTCTATAGGTCCTAAACATTGTAGTAGTGCTTTTTTCTTTATTAAGTATGAATATAATAATCAACCTTGTTTTAAGGTCCTTATGTTCTGCCTTTTTAAAAAAATGAACAGGGGTTTACAGTTATATAAGGTAATGAGTACATTTCTTATTAAACACTATTACCCCCTCCCTCATTTTCCATTCCCCACACCTCTCCCCCTTCAAGTTGTAAAGTCCATTTCCAACATAGTATCGTTGTTGTATCATTGTTGCATTATTAGTTCATCCTTTGTCCTGTTGTTTCTGTGATTCCCTTTCCCTTCCATGGATCAGATAAGCTTATATAAAAGATAGGGTATATAAAGGGTACAGAAAACTAAAACAGAAAGAAAAAAAAGAGAAGTAACTATATACATGACATAGAACCTCTTGTTTCCAATTCTTGGAGCTCATTTTGATATGCTTCATTATATATGGTTCTATGCTCTTAGCAATTGGACTATTATGATCCCCTGCTAAGTATATCATAGACATATTCTAGTTATTACAAATGAGGGAAATCATGCAACTTATATTTCTTTGGGCCTGGCTTGCTTCACTTAATATATTTTCAGGTCTTTCCATTTCCTTATGAATGAGGCAATGTCATTCTTTGTGTTGGAAGCATAGAACTCCATTGTGTACATATACCACATCTTGGTCTATTCCTCTTCCTAGGGGCATCTGGATTGGTTCCATATCTTAGCTATGGTAAATAGTGCTGCAATGAACATGGTTAGACTGGTAGCTTTAGTATGGCCTTGATTTGGTCATTTGTATAAATGCCCAGGAGTAGGATTACTGGGTCAGAGGAGAGCTCTATGTTTAGTTGTTTGAGGAACCACCATACTGCTTTCTAATTGATCTAGTCCATTTTGGATACTTTTCACTGAGCATTCATACAAATCTATACATAGCTCCTTTCTCAGAGATGAAGCTGCCACTTTTGAGTGGAAGTGTCTTCCATTTCCCTTTGTATTACAGACCATGCTTCCCACATGTAGATGTGTGTCTGCAGTTTACAAATTCCTGGACCCAAGTGGCTCTCAGTGTGGCCCAATGGGACTAATAATAATGCAGACTCTACGTTTGTAGACCTTCCCAGCCTTTCTTTCTCTTTTGTTTATGGTCCTATTGAGGGAGATCTTCCCAAGTCTCCATTCTGAAGTCCTGTATTTCTGAGATTAGAGTAGACCTCTTAGATCATGAGGCCTAGTAGTCAACACCAGGGAATATGATTTATATATTATCATAACTAAAATTTGGAGAATATTGTCTAAAGATAAGATTTTAGGGAGTCAAAGAAATTGATGTCTTAGTTCCTCTGCCTTCAAGCCTAGATGCTCAAGGGAGAAGAGTTATAGCCATCAGAATTTACCATGATGAGGGGCTGGGAAGGTGGCTCAGTGGTACAGCGTTTGCCTTGCATGCCTGAGGCCCTAGGTTCGAGTCCTTAGCACCACATAAGCAAAAAGAAAAAAGCCAGAAGTGGCGCTGTGGCTCAAGTGGTAGAGCGCTAGACTTGAGCTGAAGAGCTGAGGGACAGCACCCAGG